CAAACGAAAGACTACTGTTAATATTACGCATATTTAAATGCCGCTTAGTGTACACAGGCACTTGTCTCTGAAAAATTTACTTATTTACCTTAATACTATACGTGTTATTCAGAGACAAGTGCCTGTATTCTGAATACATAAGTATCTCAAAAATGTCTGGATACACTGAACAGTTTATCAACTATACTCTGGATACAGCAGTATATCAATTATACTCTGGAAACACCAGTATATCAATAATACTCTGGATACACCAGTATATCAACTGTACTCTAGTTACACCAGTATACCAACTGTACTCTGGATACACCAGTATATCAACTGTACTCTGGTTACACCAGTATATCAACTGTACTCTGGATATACCAGTATATCAACTGTACTCTGGTTACACCAGTATATCAACTGTACTCTGGATATACCAGTATATCAACTGTACTCTGGGTACACCAGTATATCAACTGTACTCTGGATACACCAGTATATCAACTTTACTCTGGAAACACCAGTATATCAACTTTACTCTGGTTACACCAGTATATCAACTACTCTGGTTACACAAGTATATCAACTTTACTCTGGATACACCAGTATGTCAACTTTACTCTGGTTACACTAGCATATCAACTTGACTCTGGTTACACCAGTATATATCAACTTTACTCTGGATACACCAGTATATCAACTTTACTCTGGTTACACCAGTATATCAACTTTACTCTGGTTACACCAGTATATCAACTTTACTCTGGTTACACCAGTGTATCAACTTTACTCTGGTTACACCAGTATATCAACTTAATTCTGGATACACCAGTATATCAACTTTACTCTGGATACACCAATATATCAACCTTACTCTGGATACACCAGTATATCAACTTTACTCTGGTTACACCAGTATATCAACAATACTCTGGATACACCAGTATATCAACAATACTCTGGATACATCATTATATCAACTGTACTCTGGTTACACCAGTATATCAACTTTATTCTGGATACACCAGTATATCAACTGTACTTAGTTACACCAGTATATCAGCTGTACTCTGGTTACACCAGTATATCAACTGTACTCTGGATATACCAGTATATCAACTGTACTCTGGATACACCAGTATATCAACTGTACTAAGTTACAGCAGTATATCAACTGTACTCTGGATACACCAGTATATCGACTGTACTCTGGTTATACCATTATCTCAACTGTACTCTGGATACACCAGTATATCAACTTTACTCTGGTTACACCAGTATATCAACTCAACTCTGGATACACCAGTATATCAACTGTACTCTGGATATACCATTATCTCAACTGTACTTTGGTCACACCAGTATATCAACTGTACTCTGGATATACCAGTATATCAACTGTACGCTGGTTACACAAGTATATCAACTTTACTTTGGACAACTCTAAATTGAAAACAACGTTCAAACCTGTGATTGCGTTGGATAAAAACCGCAATTTTCATACGTGTGCATGTAAAACAAATTCCTTGGTAGAGGGGTCTAAATACAGCACAAATAACATTTTCCAAAAGACCAAACAAGTGAAAAAGTATATTTTAACAAAGCGCATTTGACTGACAGGTCAAACAACTGGTGTTCTTAAACCCTGCTGACTTCCATTGGCGATTGCCAAATAAATTGATCACCAGATATAACATGGATCTTAATTTTTCATTTTGATACCAAACAGAAAACAATAAACTTGCGAAAAGATGGTATATCGCAAACATGAGGTGCAAAAAAATTTTATACACCATATCCGGATTTCGACAATTAATGTCTCTTCAGTGATGTTAGAGATCGAAACGGTATTTGGAAGGCCATATAATTTACCTCAATTTAGGATAGACTCTTGAATTTTAAAGAATCAAAATAGGATGAACGGATTCTATAAACCCGAAGGAAAATATAATACAAGCCCAAACGAAAAAATATAAACAACTCTAAATTGAAAACAACGTTCAAACCTATGATTGCGTTGGATAAAACCGCAGATTTTTATACGTGTGCATGTAAAACAAATTTCTTGGTAGAGGGGTCTAAAAACTGCACAAACAACATTTTCCAAAAAGTGAAAAGTATATTTTAACAAAACGCATTTGACTAACAGGTCGAACAACTGATGTTCTTAAACCCTGCTGACTGCCATTGGCGATTGCCAAATAAATTGATCACCAGATATTACATGGATCTTAATTATTCATTTTAATACCATACAGAAAACAATAAACTTGCGAAAAGATGGTATATCGCAAACATGAGGTGCAAAAAAATTTTATACACCATATCCGGATTTCGACAATTAATGTCTCTTCAGTGATGTTAGGGATCGAAACGGTATTTGGAAGGCCATATAATTTACCTCAATTTAGGATAGACTCTTGAATTTTAAAGAATCGAAATAGGATGAACGGATCATATTAACCCGAAGGGAAATATAATACAAGCCTAAACGAAAAAATATAAACAACTCTAAATTGAAAACAACGTTCAAATCTATGATTGCGTTGGATAAAAACCGCAATTTTTATACGTGTGCATGTTAAACAAATTTCTTGGTAGAGGGGTCTAAATACTGCACAAACAACATTTTCCAAAAGACCAAAAAGTGAAAAGTATATTTTAACAAAACGCATTTGACTAACAGGTCGAACAACTGATGTTCTTAAACCCTGCTGACTTCCATTGGCGATTGCCAAATAAATTGATCACCAGATATTACATGGATCTTAATTTTTCATTTTAATACCAAACATAAAAACAATTAACTTGCGAAAAGATGGTATATCGCAAACTTTACTCTTGATACACAAGTATATCAATTGTACCCTGGATACACCAGTATATCAACAACACTGCATCGTTCGGAGCATCACCAGAGCTGTAATCTAGTTTTATACCAATGCATTTGTAACAGGTTATTTTTAATATAAAAATAAGATGTGGTATGATTGCTAATGAGACACTGTCCTTCCACCTGAGACCAAATGACGTAGAGGTTCACTGTACGGCTTTCAACAATGAGCAAAACCCATACCACATAGCAACATATAAAGGGCTCCGACATGACAAAATGTAAAATAATTCAATATAAATTCGCTATAAAGGCTACAAAAAGTTTGAATTTCCCACCAGTAAATCACGTTGAACCTTATCAAACGTAAGCAAACTCTCGTGTGATACTGTAACTATAAAACAAATCTCAATATTCAATTTTCGGATGCAGGTCGTAATTTGGTCAAAGTAGGTTTACTACTCCGGGTGCGGGAGTTTCTCGCTGCATTGAAGACCCATTGGTGGCCTTCGGCTGTTGTCTGCTCTATGGTCGGGTTGTTGTCTCTTTGACACATTCCCCATTTCCATTCTCAATTGTATTACTATACGCTAATAAATTAATATTATACATATAGGCTACTGAGGGGCTATGCTGATAGTAGCTATTTACGACTGCAGCACGTTGAAATATGAATGGGTTAATATACTTTTTTAAATGTATGGATTGGTTCAAATAACCTCATCATAGCTTCTTAACTGTAAAAGTTTGCAAATTTTGTTTTGATTTGTTCTTAAACCTCACACCAAGACGAACCAAAGAAAAATCATCTCTAGCTAAGTGGATAAAACATTACAATTCCAGGTATACCATGTATTGCAAGTACAATTTTCGGTCATTTGGCTCTTTATAATCCGAAAAGTGCAAGAGCTACACAAACCAGATTGACAACCCTAAGCAAAGATGATGTTATAAGATATCAAAAGAATAAATAAAACACGCACACACATTTAAATCAGACTCATAAAAATGGTTCAAATTTTCGGGGTTAACCCTAAAAGCGCCTACTGCAATCTGATTAAATTCATACCTTTGCTCCGTTTAATATGTGTGTTGTGTACAGATCTAAAAACTTCTCATGGGGGTTTCAACAATGATAGGCAAGCGTACAAACCAAATGTCAAGTTCTAAATCGACCAAAGATGTGCAATATAATAATGAGCAGTACCCATACCTTATAGTGTGCTATAAAAGGAACCGGCATGACGAATTATGAAACAATTCAAAAGAAAAAAAACAACTGCCTGATTTATGCTTAAAAAAAAACTATCATAAAAGCCAGCAAACAACGACAACCAGTGGAGTGCAGGCTCTTGGCACTTGGGACGGGCATAAAAAGAATGTGGCGGTGTTCAACATCTTTGTGAGCGTTCAGCCATCACTTTACTTTGGACAGTGGTGTAACAGCACAACATTAAACCGCATGTCCCGTAAAAGTCAGATGGAAAGGGTTTGACTCATCAGATCAGCATTAAGTATAAATACAAGTGACAAAAAGACACAAAGTACCAATCTAAGAGTACTCGCAAATTACTGAAAGCTAGTTTATGCCATGGAATAATACAACATAGGGTTACACTAATGCTCCGACTAATAGAAAATGTTAACTTTTTTAATTCGTAAAGGATAGACTTCAAATTTTGAACCTATCAAGATTTCGTCATCTTTTTAATAAATATTAAAAGAATTTGGAACTTTTTTTGTCAACGTACAAATAAAAATTAACCCTTGGACAGCCAACTTACCCTGACCCATAGGAAAATGCAAGTACCTTTTTTTTTTATTTCTCAATTTTCGTTTTTATTCATTAATTAAATGTTTAGATCTTAATATGTTCCAAATCTGAAGTGAATCCTTTAAGAAATAAAAAGCGTATTAACATTTTGTCAAACGGTTACAGGAAAGTTTACTTTGGTCAGGTCAAGTTTCGGTCATATAAAAATAAAACTTTCGATTTTATTTTTTATTTTCATTAAAAATGATATCTACTTGCTATCCCCCAAATTTAAAGTAATATATTTTAGGAAACAAAACAGTTATTCGCATATATTTTTTAATCAGTCAAGGCATTGGTCAGAACATTAGTGTTATTAGAACATATTATATATCGATATATTTATGATGGACTCAGAATAATAACAAATTTCATAAGGAAACGGCTTTTAATGGGAAAATAATAATAAATAATAATAAATATCTCACTATTTTACACACATAGAAGATGCAAAAAGGATATCCGCTTTACATGTCCTTCCCATTCATTCTTAATTTACAATTATATATATCTGTACAACTGCGAATCAAAATGATTCGGAAATGATGTCATCTGAAACCAAACGTGACGTCAGCTTAACCGGTACCGGTTATTTTGCAAATTAACATTAAAATTGAACAATAACACACGGCAAAATACATATTTATGAAAAAATTAGGTCTTACAAAATGGAAAGGACGGCTTGTTGAAAATTGAAAGATATATTTAAATTATTGACAGCATATGTTTTATTTTGGTTATACAACCTCCTTAGTAACAGAAAGGCTACAGTGACATTTTGTAAGACCTAACTTGAGAAGAATTTTGATACTGTTTCACAGATGAAAATTTGTAAGAGTTTATTGTTATTATGAGATCCTCTGTTCATTTAGTCAGGGTATGGGCCAGCCATCACTTTCTTTATAAATTCTGAAAAGGAAAGAATATATATCAATACGATATTTATGAAATTATACCAATTCATAATCTCATGTCAAACTTAAGAATGCAGGTACTTTCAGTAAAAAATTGTAAAAACTTCGAAAGAGCTCTATAAATGAATATTTTAAAATTATTTCTTATACAAGATTAAATTAATGAAATGTCATTAAAAGAGTTTGCCAGCATGGAAACCGATACATTTTAAGACTGTCTAGTAAGTTTATTGATTTTCATCATTATGTAACTATCAATCTAATTCTACACTTACCCTCATATTTTACGTTTCCTTCTAAATCTTCTTGCAAATCTGTAAGTCTAATGATGTCATCGACTTGTTCGTCTGTTAATTTTTCACCTAGAATATAACATATATAATTAATGTTGTGCAATACAGATATAAGAATGTTTTCGTGAATTCAAAATGAAAAAGGGATCACAAATAATAATTTAAGCATGCTAATCTTCTATGAGCCCTGAAATTGCTTTGTGAATTTCTCCTGAAGGTATTGGTCAGTTTTTACTTTCACATATGCAATTAAAACCACTGTCGTAATTGCTTCAGATATTTGTCACAACTATTTATCTCTGCGTGAAATACCGGTATCATTATTATCAAAATTATATCACTGAGTATGTATTAGGGTTCGGCTCTTTTATTTGTCCACTTTGAGAAGTTTTGCTCTTCAAATTCTATTTTGAGTTTCCGATTTTCAAATGTTTTTACCTAACACAATATAAGGCACGCGTCTTTGGTGCATCAATGTTCTTGCTAAAAGTTTATCATTCATTCGAAGATGACACTGAAAATATGTAACTCAAAAATATTTTTGAGTGAAGTCTTACCTAATGAAGACAATACTTGTCTCATCTCAGCTCCGGAAATGTAACCCTGACCTTCCCTGTCGAAAGTTTTGAAAGCCTCCATGTAGTCGGCGTATGTACCCTGTTCTGTCTGTTGTTGGACAGTTTCATAAAAAGCAAGGAAATCTTCAAATTTGTAGCCTTTCTCACCTATGGAAATAACATAAAAAAGTTTAATTATTGTAAATGAAAGTATAACACTTTATAAATTTCGTGCGTCCCAAGCGCTTTTCTGGTTTCAGAAATTGTGCATAGATTCCACAAGTTTTTGGTTAAGTAGTGTTTTTGCCATACAGATAGAAAGGCATCATACTCCCCACAAAATCCTGATTGATCGCGACAGTGGTAAGTGAATAATTGCATTTGATCCAATTGTTTACAATACTTTCAAGGTTGCTTTGTGTTTCATGGCATGTGATTCTTTTTTGTCTAACTTTAGGGAACGGTAATTCTTCGTATATTTTTTTTTAATATATAGGCCAGTTTAATGAAATTAAGCAACAAATATTTCTCCGAGTGGTCCATGCATAATGGTCGAATTCAGGGTTCAACAATCAGCGTATTCGTCATTAAAACTACGCTGCGTAGTCTATAAGCACATTTACAGGTAATAAATTTCGAAATGAAGGCTCAAATTATCATTATCAATGTCTCACAACAGGGACCCGACCTGGCGAGTTAGTCCAAAAGAGAACCTAATTTATCTACATGATTTATTACAGAAAAGAACTTTGATATTTTGGTTTGGCATCTATCCTATCCTAATAAGTTGACCAAAACGAATCTTGAACTTTTGCTTTGAGTTAATCCAGAACAGGACTCTTCCTTCAACTTATAAACTAGTGCAATTACTTGCTGTTGAAAACACAGAAGAACTTTGTAATTTTGGAAAGTACTTACTCAATGCGTTTAAGTGCAGAAACAATATTTAAGACATTTTTATATTATATGTATTTTGAAACTCACAAACTGTTTATCATGTGACTGATATTTCTGACGTTTATTATTTCTGTTTTTGTTAACGCTATACAACTTGTAAATTGTATATGTATGCATACTATACTGATGAACTGTATTGTTCAAAGTAATAAAGAATTGAAAGTGCCTGTTCCAAGCCATCTGTTATCCAGTGGTTGTAGTTGGTTGCTGATTGTCATTATTATTTTTCGTTAGTTTTCTCTTTTTATTTTTTTCACATTTTGTTATCACGAGTCCAATGTGGTAACTAAACGTCATGGGTTTTCTCATTGTTGACGGTCGTAATGTGACAGTAGTTGTTTAAACCCATCTCCTTTGATCTTTGGTGGAAAATTATCTCATTGGTAATCATAACACATCTTCTTATTTCTATTTTAAACTTTGAGTAGACCATATACTGAGATAAAACAGAAAAGAACTTGAACACAGGGAATTCGTTATGCTTTACTTTTGATGTTATCACAGCATGCATCCCAATGTGTCTTGATAAAAGGCGACTTTCTGTTTATTGTTATACACGTAATAATAGATATAAATTTGATATAATTTAGATACTGCACATCATTTATTTCCTATTGTGTGTTAACATGCACAGGGCATATATCATATAACTTACCCATCTTTTCTGTTCCGCCATTCTTCTTGATAACAGCATTAGTTGGGTTGATTCCTAGACATCTACACACATCACCGATCTTGCATGCGTCTACATCTCCGTCCCGACCATCCCAGAAATCAAAAAGGTCAAAGACCTCACGAGCGTCTGAAATAAAGAATTTAAGTGTTAAGAACAAATTTTTAACAATGCACAACAGGCTTTCTACACGAAGTAGACTGTCAATACAAAGACAACGGTGACAAAGTTTATTTCTCACAGTACTGTCACAACAGCGAAGTCAAGTGGTAAAGAGAATGTAAAACAGCTACAACAATTCAGGTAAAAGAAGTCCGCCTTGTTTTGTCATAAATCATGCCTTTTAGCTGACATCACGGTTTGGGTTTTGTTAGTTGTTGAAGGCAGAACCGCGCCATAAAGTTTCTTAAATCCGCTTCATTAGGACTCTGTTGAATAGTTGTTTCATTGGTAATCATATCACATCTCCTTAAACATTAGTGTTCGCGTATACTTTTTCAGTAGAAAGGGTAAATAAAATTGAGAGGCAAGTAAAAATATGTGCTCATCTGAAATTTGTTGAGAAGCAAAACAAGACATTATTGCATTGCTCCTTCTATTCTAATAAATGATTCTTGGGGATTTTTAAGAAGGTATGTCGAGTACAAAACGTATCTAAAGCCTTTTACCTTAAATTTTCGAAATAATGATTAAGAAAAGGAAACAAAAAATCTTTTTGTTTGATGACCGAAAATATGTAGCAATTTAACTTTATATTACACAAAAAAGTACTTTGATTCCATATAAAGGTCCCATGAGAGGCAAAGTCATCACAATGATTATTATAGTAGCAAATACGTACATCAGCAGAACTTAAGGTTCTATTCCGAATAGAAACTCAATATGCTAATCAGCTTTAGCGTCACTTCAGCGACTTTTGATAGAAATTAAAATGTAGTAAAGGGACAAACTTATGAAGTGAAATCCTCACAGCATTTCTTATATCTTATAAATGTATGTTAAAATTCTGAATTTTTTTCAACAACAAATAAAATATTTTGGTTTGGAGCATGAACATGATGAAGAGTTTTCTGTTAAATAAAAGACTGAATTATTTCGCGTGTATAATTCTGCTATTTCGCTAAAATAAACCCGTAAATATTTGGAGCAAGTCAGCTGCCAAAATGACGTAAATTGAGGAAATTTACGTAGTGTATTCCTTCTGGAGATAATTACCATGGTAGTGTGTATATACGCAGAAAGATAAAACGTAGACAGATCTCTATATTCTTAATCAATTTATCTACCAATACAAGGAACTGGAATTTAAATTATAATAAACTTCAAAGAAAAGCATTAAATTATATTACAAAATGAATTTAGTTTTGCAATGATTGAAAAAAAAAACGATTCCGAATAATCGATATAAATACATTTTGGCAATGCATTAAAATGATGCCTGACTTAGTATCTATAAAATATTTCTCAAAATACTACGCGATTGAAACAACTGTTAAATTTGGATTTTATATATCCCAAACTAGACTTTTCTGTCTATCCCTACTTTCCAAGTTATTACATTTTAAAATTTACTTTTTCAAAAGAATTTCTTTTATTTGAACAACCCTAAAGTGATGGTTTAGTCTGGTTGTCTAAACATTAGTAGTAACTGCATATTTTTCCCTTCAGTTATGAAATTGAAAGGCATAAACATTATAATTAATACTCAATTACTGCATGTCCCCCAGTGGGGAATATAAGTCAGTGCGACATGTAGAAAATACATTTTGTGTATCTTACCCTGCTGTGTTATGATACGGCAGCGCCATTTTAGGCAATGATATCACAGCGAAGCATAATCAAGGCAGAGTGCCAAATGATCGGATTTCGGCATACAATCGACAAGATATTACTTCGTCAGAAAACATCATTAATATAAAACATGTGTGTATCTATTGGTGTTGATAAATAGATAATGAGATGAAAGAAAAAAAAGAGAGGTTATTGTTCGGCAACTGCAACGATTAATCAATTCCAGCAAGTAAAGCAATCAGGATTTCGCGATAAATATCATTCAACGACCATTTTCAACAGGTATTGAAATAACTTAAAAACCGCTAAAACAATCAAATTTTAAATATTAAAGTGTTAAAGTAAAAAAATAAACCAAAATTTTAGAATTTAATGGAGTTTGATTTTTAATAGTTTTATTTAACGGACTTTAACATTTTATAAATATCTAGAACTTGCCGACGAAGTGAAACATTGTATTTGCGTGGTGTTAGCTTATTTTAATAGGTAGAAAGTTGTTCCCTTACAGTCAAGCTCCATTTCAATTTCAAGGAGGAGATAGAAATTAAGCTAATGTATATATGAACATTCTACGGAACCACATACTCTGTCGACTCGTTAAATAAAGACACACGTTTTCCAAAAAAAAAAATAGCAGTCGTTAAATAAAGACACTTGTTTTCAAGATTAAAATAAAATAGCAATTTATTTCAAACACATTTTAGACAGTTTTACAAACATTTTTCTCAGTTTTTTATATTCTAATCAAATATGTTTTTTCTCTTCTTCTCCTTTTTGTTAAAAAATAACCTTTACAAAAAAACTTGCTAACGAAACAAATAACTTTGAGGTGAACAAACACGATACCAAGTAAAGAACAATCCTAACTACTTCTTTTCAAGAATAATTCAATAAATGTGTCCCTCTATTTAAGTGCGCCAGTGTCATTACGAGATTCGAAAATCCCCCTATGGGTACCTCATAACACCCCCAAAAATACAACTATGCACGTAATTGATGTTGCACCCATATGGCCCTGTAATTCGATACCACAGGCACACGCCGTTGTAAGAGGATGCCCACGGGGTGTCGATATTAAATCCATAAAAAACAGATAAATGAAGTGGTTTTACCAGTTACACACGCCAAGTTAAAATAAGATTCTTTATCTCTCTACATCCTCTCATCTTAGTTGCACAAGAAATGTAGCATAAAAAATCCATGAATAGCATGGCAACAATATGTAATCCAAATTGATATAGATAAAATAAATGCACAGTAAATCCAAATATTTTGTGCGAATTAGTAAACATAATAAACAGGTTAGATTTACAAAGGGAAAAGAGGGAATTATCACTGCAAACTTGCATACCTTCGATCTCGCCTTTTGATAACTTCGACTGAAAAAAATAGAAATAAAAATGTTTAAAATTAGGATAAAAATATGAAAGGAAAAATTATAATTACAATCTTGTTTAGTAACATCAGTCTTTAGTTAAACGTACTTAGCTTGAATTTGCAATTTGATCATGAAACCAAGTTATTATTTGAGAGTAAAAGTGTTTTTAGCATACCATAGTAAACCCCTGTTTAGTGATCTTTTATTCTAGAAAAAGACGAGCAAATTTGAATAAAAAGTAATAAATATTTCAAATAAATGCTATTAGAATACAAACTAAATGTTAAGATGTTAAGACAAAAAGCTAACTTACCATTTTGAAGCTTGGAGGTTGCCGTCGGTCGTAAAAGTGAAAGTGAAGTCGGAAGACGGAATGATTGGAATGCCGTGTGTGTGCTGATCTGCAATATCGTCTATTTATAAGACGAGTTCATGTAGAGATGTAGGGATGTCAGCTGTATACGTATCAATTAACACAATTTACGTAACTGATACCCTGTGGAGACTAAGCCACTGCGAACTGATAAACAAATATCTTGCCACTTATTAATTTTCCACGATAATCAATTATGCAAATTTAACACTATGATACATTTTTGTAAAACATCTGCATCCTTTAACCCCTGGAGATGTTGATATGGACGTGCATAAGACGTGCATATAATATCTATTAAATAATATATATAGAAATATTCAGTGAAAACTATAGCAACTCTTAAACTTATGTGGCACGATGTTAAAAATTAGATACTTAAAAATGTCCTTATTTATACATTTGCAAAATTTCGGGGGCGTAATGAACATAAAAGGAGAGTAGGGCGTGCACTGAACTTGACACCGATCTAGGAAGGGTACATGCAGCAGACACAGATGTATATACTTATCATGCTGATCATATTGTTTGTATCTATTGATATATTGTAATCCTTTCTCTTTAGCACATCGAAGTAACATTTTGAGATCATTAATGTTGATAACACTGACTCGTTTATGGCGAAAAGGGGGGGGGGGGGTAATTTTAGAAAAATGTAATGTTCAAACGAATACTTCCTTATGACATGAACAAAACTACATTTTTAATTGCACCTTTTTAAATTATATAGATGCGATGAGTTGTGTTTAAGATGCTCTATTAAGAATGTTGAAGATAAATTTGTATTAGTACCAATCCGAATGTTTGGATTTTATACAATAATAAAATATCTTATCTTATCTTATGACTACGAGCACGCGAGTTAATATAGGTCTGAAGTTTAATCAGATTGGTAGTAATCTAAATTAGTTCTAGAAAATATACGTTTTCTTTCGTCGCTTTTCGTGAAGACATTTGCGATTCTGATGACAACATTATAGAATATGAAAGTCTCGTCTAGTGTAATCTGGAACCAATATTTCATGTAATAGTCCCAGCTGTCATGTGCTGTCCCTGGTGATTTCTATATTTTGGTGATCAATACACTTATATTAACATGTATGCTGTATACATTGCTTTCCCTTAAGTACTTGCGGTAAAATATTGTAATTACTGTGTGTGTTTTTTCCCTTTTCAATGGGGAGGGGGTATAACTCTCGTATTACGTCACCGTGACGGGTCGGGCATGCGAATCAAAATATGACATTATATAAAATTTTTGGGTATGCGTGTTCCATTTATAAATGCAAATACTAAACAAAATTGGCCAAATTTAACTTCTGTTGTTTTGATTTTACACTATATTGTCTTTTCGAAAATGCTTAAGCTACATCATCCAATGCTACATGATTATTTTATTTATATTCAAACTGCATACCCTTTCTAATATATTTTATTCTTACTGAATAGCATATCATTTCATATTTTTTGTCACGGCCCATACGTTATATAAGTATACTGGAAGTGAACACACAAACAATACCACTCTTCCTCTATAAAACAAGATTTGCAGCATAAATACGTGTAAAAAATCGCTACTGTTTATTGAATTTCAACTTAATTTATAAAGAGGGATCACCAATTTTGAGTTGGATAATTTTTTTATTCTACATACAATTTAGTTTTATTTTGCTCAAAGTTGTGGACACATGAACTGATAAAGTGAAAGTCTTTAGTTTAAGGGGAAATGCATTATTTAGTAATACTAGTTCAAGCGTAAAGGTATAAATAACTCCATTCCATGCTAAAATGAAGAAAAAAAATCGTTCCGCGGAACATGGTGTCTAGCCTGCGATTGCTGCTGTCAGTGTAAAAGTGTAATGTTAACTTAAAAAGTGAAGTAAAATACAGAATTTAAAAAAAATCAAACTTTTTCTTTAGATGCTATTTTTTGTTCTTGAAGATTAGCTTCTGCCCAAGTTTCATAACAATCCACGAAGGTTTACATTTTATTATGTCAAAAACATATAATCCCAGACATTCTGTAAATGTTAACTGTAAAAAACAATGTACATCTATCAAAAAAATACCAAAAATGAAAAAAATATTTTCAAAGGTTTGCTTTAGACATTATCTCTTAATTATCAAAAAGCTTCTGCCAAAGTTTCATAACACTCCATGAAGCTTTGAAAAACAAATAAAAATAAATATTTTCAAAATTTTGTTCTGGATACTGAACATGTATTTTGGTCACAAACAAGCTTCTGTCAAATTTCATAAAATTCCATGTAGGTTTGACAAAGTAATTAATGTCTAAAAAAAACTTCAGACACATACTAAATCTGAATGTTAACTGTCCATTTATCAGTAAAATAATGAAAAATGAAAATAAATATTTTCAAAATTTTGCTCTGGATACTGTATTTTGGTCATAAACAAGATTCTGTCCAAATTTCATATAAAATTCCATGAAGGTTTGACAAAGTCATTGGTGTTTAAAAAAGTCTTTAACCACAGACTGAACCTAAATGTTGACGCCGACGAGAATCGAGGATCGCTGTCTCGCTTTTGCGAAATAAATTTAGCAGGCTCGACAAAAATCGTTTGGTTCTCAGAAAAGTTTTGGAAAATTAAATAATTATGCAATTTGTATTAATTTTAAGTTGAATAAATTTTTTGAAGAGGGTGTATATTTGTTTTAACCAGACTTCAGACTTGAAATGTGGTTCTCATAAAAAAAAAAGAAGGAAAATGATATACTAGTATTTATTTTGAGTTTGTCATCACTTCGGAGAGTATTTTAACCAGACTGGAATTTCGTTCTTGAATGCTTTCGTTGTCAAGTCAGTTTATATTCCCTTAATCTGCATGATAATATTATTATTTTATTAACAAACAACCGCAAACTAATATATACATTTTTTAATTGATTTCTAATGGGTACCAAGTTCTTTAGTTTAGCATGTCTTTTTGATTCTTAGCTGGAAAACACGGGAAAACAATTAAATTAAATTGTTTTCTGCAACCAAAAAAATTTGAAATAATCAGATTCAACATTTGCCCAATTTTCACAATGAGTTTTAGAAAAATACGTTCATTTATGACAGAGTGTTGCTCAAAAATAAAGCCGGAATGTTGCTGGATAGAAATTTTTCTAACTCAACACTAGATCCGGGCGATTTAGATCTACAGCTTCATATATTGTATAGACGGTAAACGGACAGAAAGTCACAGGACAAAAAAGTCACAGGACAGAAAGTCACAAATTTGATAGGACAAAAAGTCACAAATAATTTGTTGACAATTGTTTGAATATATAAGAGAAAGATCTTGAAATATTTTCTTTTTATTACATATATTCATTTTAAAGTTTAGGAAATTGTTCATTAGCCTTAATAAATGAAAAATTATTAATTTGTATTCATGAAAAGGATATATTTCTTGGCACCATGAAGCCGTTTAAGTACCAAGCCACTTTGACATTTTGTTTTCTTAACAGTTATTTGATCATAATTGATATTTATTAAATAAATTTTAATTACAAAGTTGCCTTATATATAATAGTTCAAGAAAAACAAAAAAAAGTTTTTAAAAAATAAGTATTTTCTTATTGAAAAAAAATATAATCTCAAAACTGAATTGTGACTTTTTGTCCTGTGACTTTTTGTCCATAACTTTTTGTCTGTGACTTTTTGTCCTGTGACTTTCTGTCTAACATTGTTTATAGACGCCTGTTGATTGTTAATATTTTTTTTATCGTCGTTGGGTTGCAGTTTTATTAACATATATACCCAACGTCTTGAATTCATATAAAATCCCAGCTACGGTACCACACATGCCTTAGTTATTGTATGACCATTTACTCTCTTATTCTTTTTTATTTTGATTTCAAAGATGCGAAAATACACCAATACATATAAATGTCCATGCAGGTGATAAGGTGATAATAGCTGACGGTTTGGGTCTAGGTGCTTGTTTAATCTTTACGACTATCTCAACTAAAAGAATTTCCAACTATCCAATACAATGGACACCCACTATGCTATTATATCATTGAAAAGAATGCCCGCTTATTTCATTACACGTGTTTACGTAACAAAATCATCCGGTCTTTAGTAGGTTACTGGTGTGCTGTGACAACCTCAATGTCGTTCTATGTCAATGTCTGGCTTTATCTCCTGTTCAAGCGTTTGGTGGCACCTTTTTATTTCAGTTTGGTGGCACGTTTTTTTTTCTCTTCAATACTAATGTCTCTTTTAATTATGTTTGGTAAATCAAGGAGATTATATAAACATAACCTCCTTGTGTTTATCAATCGTTTATCCATTCATATATTTATTTAACTTTTTATTTATATTTATTGAATTAAAAATGAGCAAGATGCCAGTAATGAAGTATAAATCTCCATTACTGTGGTATCACAGAAAAGACCACATTTCATTGTTGTGATTATAAAGGAAGCTAATATATCAAATGTCTATATACTCTTTGAAATTATGTGAACTTGACGTCATTTTCAACATCAAATCTCGATCAGATTCTACATTGATACTTCCAGTTACTATATATTAAAACTCAAAAAGTAACTTTGTTACAACGGAAAGTAAGCTTCTCTTTAGTGTCGTGAAATGAAGATTAATGCTTACTAATATACACGAGTGGAGCAGAAACTACATAATTACCCTTCCAGAGCACTCTAGGTATTTGATGCAAGGGGGTCCGGTCGTGTCGCTCAATCGGCTTTAGTTTGTTTTGTAGTGTCCTTTTTATTACCCTGTTTATTGGGAAAGTACAGTTCGACTCGATCATGCGTGTGTATCAGAGGTTGACTAACATCCAGTGGACAATATTTAAGACATATTCATATATATGACTATGGATCCCCTTTGTGAGCTTGACTCGAAATATTAAATGCATTCGCTGACATGTCTTCTTCTGTTTAATGTTGCTTTTACTTTCGTGAGCTTACTTTTTGATGCTAAATGCGACTTTTACTTTTATAAGCTAAGTATTTTATGGTAATGCGACTTTTACTTTCGTGAGCTTAGTCAAGTTATATACTACTGCGACTATTGCATTTTATCTCAAGCG